CTGAAATATCCACTAATTTTCCCGGGTTTGCCACAAGTGGCTACCGTCGTGACGCGAGAGAGAGAGTGGGTGTAACATTGTACCTATCTCCAGTTAAAACTTCGTCTCAGCCGTCTCAGTCTGCGCTCTGATTGGTTCGTTTGTGTCACGTGGTGAGAATGCAGCTCTCTGAATGGCTAGTTTTATTTTCTCAGAGCCGTCTGACCCATCCAGCCTTGTAATGCTGTTTACGGCTGTATTCGGTTCGTACGGGTGAAATCAAAGGACGGTAAATTTGCTGTTAATTTACCTGAACATTGTCTCTGCAAACTACCTGTCTTCTGATCAATCGTTTTGTGTCACGTGACTAAAATGCAGCTCTCTGATTGGTTGGTTTTTGTCACGTGACTAGAATGCAGCTCCCTGATAGGTTGCTTTGTTTTGATATGACCATAATGCGCTCTCTGAAAGTTCCCTTTAGAACACTTCTCTCTCCGTTATAGCCTTCCTCACGTGACTCTATCTTCATATCACGTGACTCTATCTTCATGTCACGTGACTGCAATTAAACTCTCTGAGTGGTTCAGTGGTTGATTGGAGAGGTTCTGTCTTTCTGTTATCTAAATAGTCGTTTGGAGACGTTCTGTTCTCTGATTGGTCAAGCAATGTCTGGACCCGGATTAACGTGGAGGGATGTCACGACAGTCACAACTATTGTGTCGAGGTAATCACGTGACACCAGTAATCAGTATGCAGGCTCGCGTCAACTTGTGTCCATTCTCACATGATTCACTGTCTTGGCTGGTGATTCTTGGAATTAAAGTGTCCTCCAGGACACTTAAACATTGTTTCGGGAGGACTAGGCTTTAACTTTTCAGCTTTATCCGTACCGTGGAGGGTATGAACCAATGTTATGTAGTAGTTTTCTGATCGTGGAGACTGCTGTTTAATAATAAAGATATTGTTTTAATTATTTAATAAATTAAAATACTTATTTTATATTTATGCAGCAGATCAATGCAGACATTCTCAGCCAGTTTCTTGGATTTTCCCGGAACACAGTATTATTTTGATCCTTGTTGAGTGTTTTTTCAATATTTTTTTTATTAAAACAAATTTCAGTAAAATTCTGCTAGATTCAGCCTTTGACTTTAGGTTCCCCATCTACAATCTGGAAAGTTCTTTTCCATTCATCTTCGCCCTTTAAAACTACCACTGTCATTTAGAATTAAAGTTACGTAATCTGTGAAAGTTATCGTAGGTGAAGCCCTTTAAAAACCATTAACAGTCTCATATCAATCACATACTATTATTCACATATTATTCACATATTATTCACATACCTGTCGGAAGGGATAATTTCTTGATAATCTCTTTGTGTCTCAAACCATATATCTGTATCATACCATTCTCATATCTGTCTTAAACGTTATATCAATCACATACCAGACATTTTAAATTGGCAAACTCGTTATTTAAGTTATGTGGCGTACGTTGACGTTGAGACGAGAGCACTTGTGATGTTTATACTTTATATTACTACTCGCGTGTGGTTGCTAAGTGCTGCTAAGTGCAATTTATATAACATTTCTACACACACACACACGTATTAATATATATTAATACGTGCTGCTCAGTTTGAGATTGAAATACTCAACCGACATCATGATTTTTAACTTTTTTATATTTACTGAGTGCTTTTATTGGCACACTGGACCATGTGATTGTCTACCTCAACCTGTTTTTTTTTAATTTATTTTTTTTACCTGTTTGATATATACATTTCGTTATAGCAATTAATAAACCTGCCGTCATGGTCAGTGTTTAATGTCACTCCTTATATTATTTTAGTTACCTGTTAGTGTTACAATTCTACTCGATAGTTCCATCTTAGTGCACGTGTTTTTCTGACGTTGTTCTGACAGTGGTCTGTGTTGCAGGACAAGCTCTCTAATATTGCCTCTTAACATTTCAACCAATGGTAGAATTAGAAGTTTACTCCTCGCTTCCTCTATTCGGGAATTTGTGATTTTACTGTTTTATTTCTGTAATAGCTACGAATATTTTAACCAAGTTTTACCCTATTTTATCCAAAAATAACCATTTTATCTGGTGATTAACAGTTAACACTCCAAATTCTCCCATAGCATTTCCAGATTTATAGACTCATGACCTGTTTTGTTCTGGCCTCAACCGCTGATCCCACGCCCTCGCGTGACGATACGACACCCTCGCGTGACGTCACCACATCCTCACGTGACGTCACAACCCCCTCACGTGACGTCACAACTCGCTCACGTGACGTCACAACTCCCTCACGTGACGTCACAACTCGCTCACATGACGTCAAAACTCCCTCACATAACTTCACCACCCCTTGTCACGACGTCCTGTACCCCTCACGTGACGTCACAACCACGAGACCACCGCATGACGTCATCAACGGCTTCACCATCTCGCTGATAAACGACAACACCGTCCACCCGCTACAGATAAAACGAAAGATAAAACAACGTCGTCACTCCATGTACACTTCCCTCGCAGATTTCACCTCACAGGGTTTTGTCCCCTTCCTCCCAGAGGGTCTGATGAAGAAGGACACCACTCCCGACCATCTCATCAGGAGACTCTCCTCCTCTTCCTCCTCCGCCGCCAACAGTCCTGATCTTGTGCGGAGAAAGCGCTTCTCAGACGCCGACATCGACCAGCTATCCTTCCTGTATTCAAACAATTTCGACCCGAGTAAGTCGCCGCAGTGCGCGAAGAAGGAGGGTAAACAGGGCGGAGAGCTGGCAGGAAGGTTGGGAGTTAGGGAGATAGAGGTGCTAAGAGAGGAGGAGGGAGAGGCCTCCTCTATCAGGTGCAGTCGATCTGAGTCAGATCTCTTCAACAAGAAGGGTAGGAGGTATTCTACCGTCAACTGAACTATTGTGATGTCATTATGAATGTCACGTGATGTGTGACGTCACGAGAAGTCGTGCACTTCAGCGGCCGGACAGTTTGTGTTGTTGACCTGTTTTAAAGATATTATAGTCAGAGGAGTTGTTATCAGTTATGCTTATAAAATGACTCATTGAGTGTTGAAAATTTGGATATTTCAGATTATTTTGAGGGATGAAAATGTGATGTCTTTTTTGCCGTGCATCATTAGATTCACTTCCAACTTGGCTGCTTTAGCAACGTTAACTGCCACTTCAAACAATCTTCACTTCTCCGTAGAAAGCTAATTATTTGTGCAAATATGTGTTTAAAATATGTACATAAAGAAAGTTAAAGAATGTTGATAAAGTTGTTTCAAATTGGTTTACCTTTGAAAACTTAATTGCATCCAAAAAGATAATTCCAACATCCAACATGGTAAAATAGAGCCTGAAATAAAATAACTACAAGCAATTAAATTAATATAAATACGGTAGTCACAGACGCTGATCTCGCTACTCTAGAAAAGGGCTATCGTTACACTGTCACTGTAACGTAGGGCAACGTAGGGTTAACGTCTGAAATGTGATTATGTCAGATAACACTAGACATATAAACGTCCAAAAGACGTCCAAATAATGTCAGCAGTTAAGAGTTAACTCATCGTGGGGAGTTAAATTAACGTAAATTAACGTTTAAAGGCAAAAACGTCATATCTTGGGTGGAGTTAAAAATGCATAATAAATGAATGTTTAACGAGCCCATTAAGCTTGCTAATAAGTTCAGTTACTACGCAACCCTGTTAAACCCTATTTATACATCGGGCAGATCTTTTTATAGCACACCGCGATAAATTAATTGGTCTGTAATTGGTCTGTAATTGGGCTGGTTTGGTAATCATGACTCTATATTTGTAGAGTAATACAGTTATCCCGCTGTAATGTAGGATTGACCGTAACTCTAATAGTAATGGTAACTACAATAGGTTTAATAACTGATAACTAGTTTTAGTTAATTGCGAATAGTTAATTGGCTCTAATTGGCTCTAATTGGCTTTGTCAGCGGAAGATTCTGTTCCTTTCTCGTAACCATCGTTTCGTTTGGGTCTCTCTGATTTAGATGAAGATACTGATATCCCACTGTTAAACTCCTTCTTGGTTACTAATAGTGGTTACTAATGGTTACTAATAGTGCTTTAATTCGTTGGGGTCGCAACCAGAAGTTTCTGATGAAACATAAGCTCCTTGCTTCAGATAAAATCAGGTCTTCTGATGACTGCCAGAATGAAAATAACTGCGATGTTTTGGTAAAGAGATCACGTTGTTCAGTGAACTTGGGAGCGTCGTGTAAAAATAAGAGTTCTGCCACAAATTCCTCACGTCCCAAGAATTCCAGACCAGACGTTTTGAAGTCACGTGACATTTTTCATGAAGTATTGGGATCGGGAAAGTGTGGTTCTGATTTAAAGCAATCGTCAAATCAGAGTAAAAACAGTTCTAGAACCCAACCAATCAAGAGGAAACGATACAAATCACGTGATACTGAGAGGCCTACAATGAGAATCATCACTAAACCAAATTATAAGGAAAATAGTTCCTCTTCAAAAATGGCTGATGTTTGCCCTCAAGATAATATTGAGGCTCTATACGAAAATGGATGCGTCAAAGACGTTAAGGATGCTGTGGGTACTACTAACAGCAAAAAATCCGGGGATCGCGAGAATGCTTTGAAATCTCGATCTCGTAAAAAACGTCGTTCCAAATCACGTGATCACAAGTATCAGAACATTATCCTATCTAGGAAACGGTAGGTTGGGGGTACAAGGACTGTATAGTGTAGCTGTATGTGTTGTCTGTACTCTGTGCACTGGTCTGTCGTGTCCTACATCTTCACATGTGTAGTACACACAGTACACATTGTGTCCCAGTTGTTGACAATGTCCGTGATTGTTGTTAGTTTGTTATTGTGTCTGTTGTCTAAATTGTGTTATATTGTCTGTGGTTATAATTTTGTTTCATTTTAAGTTAATCAAAAAATTGTTGAAGATGTTTATTAGAAATTCCCAACTATCCAATTAAAACTCAAATCAGCACCCCTCACAGCGGAATAGACATAAGATCGGAGACGGGTGTTATGAAACCACTGTTTGGAGGTCAGCGGACCAGCTCGGACGAGAGGAACGAGCTGGCTAAACTCCGTCTGTACGTGAAGCAGCTTGAAGCTAAGGTGGATAGTGGAGTAAGCAGCAGTTATGAGGAGGAGTCTAAAGTTGAGAACTTGCTCAAGGTGTGTTTTTTTACAATATTTCCTTGTGTTTCAGTTGCTCAAGGTGTGTTTTTTTAAACAATATTTCCTTGTGTTTTAGTTGCTCAAGGTGTTTTTTTTTACAATATTTCCTTGTGTTTCGGATTTCAAGATTGGATTGTGATGCTTAGTTGACATGAAAAAAGCGTAGATCTGAAGCTGTCTTTTCAAATTGTGGCTAAAATCATAGCTTGTTAAACCGCTCAAATAAGTTAATAACCGCTCAACGTTACATCAATTAAAACCATTCTCAGGATAACCAGAAGTTGATAGACGAGAAAACATCAATCAGCAGGAAGTTCGCGCGGCTCCAGGATTACCTGACAACCCTGCCCACTGTTAACGAGTACACCAAGCTACAAGAACAGTTGACGCAACTTACAGAGGAGAATACAAACCTGCAGGAGGAACAAAAGCGGGTAACTGAATCCTCCAAGGACGTGAAACTAAAGGATGCAGATATGAAGAAGTACCAGAAGAAATGTACGGACATGCGGGAATCTATAATGAAGCTGGAGAAGCAGAATAACTTGCTGAAGTCCCAGAACGCAAATCAGGCCAAGCAGGAGCTTCAGAAGGTGGAGCTGGAAAAATCGAAGATGGAGAAGAAAATGGAGCAGCTGAAAAAGGAGATCTCTGTTTTGTCTGAGCAGGTAATTGATAAATTACAACACGCAATAATATTTTTCAAATCTTAATAATTTTCAATGATCATTGGAAAAAGTCTCGTTTGAACTGAAAATGTGGGTCTGTTGCATTCAAGTATTTAACCAATTGAAATATTTCAAAAACTTTTGTCTAATTTGTTTCTATAAACAGAAAGAAAGCACGAAGAGTTTAGTAGGGGGATACTACGAGAAATTTAACAACGAGCAGGAGAAAACCAAAATACTGACTCAAAGTTTAGAGAATTCTGTCAACGAGGTTGAAGATCTGAGATCTGAACTGGACCGCAGAATTCATCAGGTAAGAGTCTGAAATTTTTCTTGCTCACTAATGCTATTTTACGATCACTTGTGATCGACCAACAAACAGTATAATCGTTTTTGTTTCAGTAATTCACGAACACACAAATGCCACAAATGCATTTGAACTTAGAAGCTAGATAAATATACCCTAAAAAGTTAAACAAATATCAACTCCCAACTTTTTTTCTTCTTTTTTTTTCAATTTAAAAAATTAAAAATTAAAAAAAAAAAAACTCCCAACCTTAACATTCCCATCCAGGAGGAGGAATTACAAGGGCGGATCTCAGACTTAGAACGGGAGTTAGAGGCTGTGCTACTTAAAATGGAGGAGTATGAGTCCCAGGAGAACCGGGATGTGGAGAACTCTGAGCTCCTGATGGCGGAGTACAATGCTGCTTTCCAGGACCTCAATAGTGTTGTGGAGGTGAGTTTTTATCCTTTTTTATCTTTTTTTAAAGTTGAGAATGTTTTGTGTTTCTATTTTCTATTATAAATGTAAAAATGCAGTCTGAAATATTTATTTGATAGGAAATGTAAAGATATTATAATATTTGTGTGGTTTGACATGGGATTACTCAGGTTTGTCAGATGAGAGTTCAAGGTCAGCAGTTAGACATTTCCTTGCTGCTTGGACTGGGAGCCAGTCCACGACCTTCTAACAAGGAGGATCTTACTGTTGAGTCCCAACTCAGAAATGTTAGTCATTATTTAATTAGATTTATTAGTTAAATCATTTATTAGTCAAATAATCTTAATTAAAAGATATTCTTAAGTAGAAGATAATCTTATTCAAATTTTATTTGACTGTGGTACAATAAATGAAACCTGACAGCGAAAAGTAATAAGATTAAAAAGGCTTAATCGGTTAATCAGCTACTTATAATTTCATCACAGAAAATCTAACCTCGCTGCTAATTTCAGATTCAGGCTCTAAGGAGCAATATAGAAAACATAAGGACGTTACTTTCTGATCTGTACGCTGAGGACATCGGCAGTCAGTGCCCGACCCAGTGAACACTACTACCTCATTAATTAATTAATTAATTAATTAATTAATTGACGAATCTTAGAGAGTATGGCGACTGCAGTGATGACGTCACGATTATGTAGCTAATTTCAGAGCGTGATTAAGTTGAGCTAGTGTTGTGAGAAAGAGTACACAGAGTTTAACCAGTTATTTGTTACGGACGATTGAGTCGTGCATTACAGAACTAACTCGAGACTAACTCTTATTTATAGTTTATGTAACACTCGGTTATTTTACCATTGTTATATGAGATCGGTTTGCGATGATAATTGAGCTATTTAAGCTACAAAACTTCACAGAAATTCAATTACTATAAGTATGATATATATCAATAGTATAACGTTTATTAACGTTATTTTCATAATCATTAATATTATGTATTTTAGTTGTAAACATCGGTCGGAAATTGCCGCATGAGTTTCAACAATTAAATTTTACAGACTAACGATGACTTGAAATTTGTCGTCCTTTGATGAAATTTGTGATATTTGCATTATTAATATTTATATATTGTCGTGTAAATTGAATATCCACAAAGATTTGAGAAGCATGAAGATACGGATTAGCGCATAAACAGCAATTCGATTAGAACCTGTTTCAAGTCAAAACAGTGACATGATGGTTTGGTGTGTAAATTAAACAGTATTTAATAATTTGTATTCGATAATAATTATATTTGATTTTACGTGATAGAATGTGACCTTGGGAACAAGAGTGATATTTCTAGACTTTTGTATTTAGAAGAGCAGTATCCAATCTCCAAAATAGCGAGTAACTGACACTCAACAGGTAATTACTAATTACTAATTAGACAGGTAATTACTAATTACTAATTATACAGGTAATTACTAATTAGCCATGTAATCTAGTCCTGGTCCTTGTTGTTAACTTTGACATTTGTATTTGTATATAACGGTCCTCTGGTTTATATTACCAGTATTTTAATTTCCATACAATAATAAAACGGCTGTTTTATTTTTTGTCGTTCATCGTTGGATTATGACAGTGAAAATTGCTAAAGATTGTAAAATTTCATGTCAGAAAACTTTACAAACGAGAATTGGTATTTTCCAATTTCTGTCTCATTTTCAAATAAAAACATTCTGAATACAAATCTGACAGATTCGTCGGAGTTTTTGCCCAGAGACCAAACCCTCAGAAGTATATAAGATATAACCGGATCCTCGTCTATTCCACTGAGGAATGTTCGAGATTATCTCTCGGATAAAACAATGTAATCTTATCGGAGTAAGATAAGGCCAGGTGAGCGATAAAAGAGTGGTCCCACTCAACTGCTATAAGTATAAGTATAACAGCCCCTCAGGGTCGGACGCCTGTCAGCTGGTCGGCACTACTTGTCACGCCCAGTCAAATGAAGTTTCGTACTATAATTGATGATGGTACGAAACCAATTGAGGTATTGCCAATGAAAATCAAAATGCCGAAGAAAATTGAAACATCATATTGTCCCATTCTCTGTCCCATTTTCAGCCAATAAGTCAGTCAACTATAGATAGCATATGACAAGATCGAGGTGCTGGAAGTTTAATATCGGTCGGAGGAGGCTAACTGCCCCCTCACTGTAGAAATCTTAACAAAACGAAAGTTAATGTTCTTCAATTTATGTTCCATTTTCAAATATGAAATTTTCTGAACACAAATTTGACAGATTAGATGAAATGTTTGCCCACAAACCAATAAAATCATGTATTTCAAAACTCTGTCCCATTTTCAGTTTTTGAAGATGAAATTTCCAGGACCGAAATTTTACAGTTTTTACAGAATTTCTCACCCGCAACCAATTAGTAAGTCAACAATAGATGGCATATGACACGATTGAGGTGCTGGAAGTTTGATATCGGTCGGAGGAAGCCCACAGCAGAAAGCTTAAGAAAACGAAAAGTTGTATTTTCAAAAGTCTGCCCATTTTCAAATGTGAAATTTTCTGACCACAAATTTGACAGATTAGATGAAATTTTTGCCCACAAACCAATTAGTCAGTTAATTGATGATGGTATGAAAACAAATTGGGGTACTGGAAGTCAAAATCCGGAATAAAATTGTAAAATCATATATTTCAAAACTCTGTCCCATTTTCAGTTTTTGAAGATGAAATTTCCAGGACCGAAATTTTACAGTTTTTACTGAATTTCTCACCCGCAACCAATTAGTAAGTCAACTATAGATGGCATATGACACGATTGAGGTGCTGGAAGTTTGAGATCGGTCGGAGGAAGCCAACAGCAGAAAGCTTAAGAAAACGAAAAGTTGTATTTTCAAAAGTCTGTCCCATTTTCAAATATGAAATTTTCTGAACACAAATTTGACAGATTAGATGAAATTTTTGCCCACAAACCAAATAGTCAGTTAATTGATGATGGTATGAAACCAAATTGGGGTACTGGAAGTCAAAATCCGGAATAAAATTGTAAAATCATATATTTCAAAACTCTGTCCCATTTTCAGTTTTTGAAGATGAAATTTCCAGGACCGAAATTTTACAGTTTTTACTGAATTTCTCACCCGCAACCAATTAGTAAGTCAACTATAGAAGGCATAGGACACAATTGAGGTGCTGGAAGTTTGATATCGGTCGGAGGAATCCAACAGCAGAAAGCTTAAGAAAACAAAAAGTTGTATTTTCAAAAGTCTGTCCCATTTTCAAATATGAAATTTTCTGAACACAAATTTGACAGATTAGATGAAATTTTTATCCACAAACCAATTAGTTAGTTAATTGATGATGGTATGAAACCAAATTGGGGTACTGGAAGTCAAAATCTGGAATAAAATTGTAAAATCATATATTTCAAAACTCTGTCCAATTTTCAGTTTTTGAAGATAAAATTTCCAGGACCAAAATTTTACAGTTTTTACTGAATTTCTCACCTGCAACTAATTAGTAAGTCAACTATAGATGGCATATGACACAATTGAGGTGCTGGAAGTTTGATATCGGTCGGAGGAAGCCAACAGCAGAAAGCTTAAGAAAACGAAAAGTTGTATTTTCAAAAGTCTGTCCCATTTTCAAATATGAAATTTTCTGAACACAAATTTGACAGATTAGATGAAATTTTTATCCACAAACCAATTAGTTAGTTAATTGATGATGGTATGAAACCAAATTGGGGTACTGGAAGTCAAAATCCGGAATAAAATTGTAAAATCATATATTCACAACTCTGTCCCATTTTCAGTTTTTGAAGATGAAATTTCCAGGACCGAAATTTTACAGTTTTTACAGAATTTCTCACCCGCAACCAATTAGTAAGTCAACAATAGATGGCATATGACACGATTGAGGTGCTGGAAGTTTGATATCGGTCGGAGGAAGCCCACAGCAGAAAGCTTAAGAAAACGAAAAGTTGTATTTTCAAAAGTCTGCCCATTTTCAAATGTGAAATTTTCTGACCACAAATTTGACAGATTAGATGAAATTTTTGCCCACAAACCAATTAGTCAGTTAATTGATGATGGTATGAAAACAAATTGGGGTACTGGAAGTCAAAATCCGGAATAAAATTGTAAAATCATATATTTCAAAACTCTGTCCCATTTTCAGTTTTTGAAGATGAAATTTCCAGGACCGAAATTTTACAGTTTTTACTGAATTTCTCACCCGCAACCAATTAGTAAGTCAACTATAGATGGCATATGACACGATTGAGGTGCTGGAAGTTTGATATCGGTCGGAGGAAGCCAACAGCAGAAAGCTTAAGAAAACGAAAAGTTGTATTTTCAAAAGTCTGTCCCATTTTCAAATATGAAATTTTCTGAACACAAATTTGACAGATTAGATGAAATTTTTGCCCACAAACCAAATAGTCAGTTAATTGATGATGGTATGAAACCAAATTGGGGTACTGGAAGTCAAAATCTGGAATAAAATTGTAAAATCATATATTTCAAAACTCTGTCCCATTTTCAGTTTTTGAAGATGAAATTTCCAGGACCGAAATTTTACAGTTTTTACTGAATTTCTCACCCGCAACCAATTAGTAAGTCAACTATAGAAGGCATATGACACAATTGAGGTGCTGGAAGTTTGATATCGGTCGGAGGAATCCAACAGCAGAAAGCTTAAGAAAACAAAAAGTTGTATTTTCAAAAGTCTGTCCCATTTTCAAATATGAAATTTTCTGAACACAAATTTGACAGATTAGATGAAATTTTTATCCACAAACCAATTAGTTAGTTAATTGATGATGGTATGAAACCAAATTGGGGTACTGGAAGTCAAAATCCGGAATAAAATTGTAAAATCATATATTCACAACTCTGTCCCATTTTCAGTTTTTGAAGATAAAATTTCCAGGACCGAAATTTTACAGTTTTTACTGAATTTCTCACCTGCAACTAATTAGTAAGTCAACTATAGATGGCATATGACACGATTGAGGTGCTGGAAGTTTGATATCGGTCGGAGGAAGCCAACAGCAGAAAGCTTAAGAAAACGAAAAGTTGTATTTTCAAAAGTCTGTCCCATTTTCAAATATGAAATTTTCTGAACACAAATTTGACAGATTAGATGAAATTTTTGCCCACAAACCAAATAGTCAGTTAATTGATGATGGTATGAAACCAAATTGGGGTACTGGAAGTCAAAATCTGGAATAAAATTGTAAAATCATATATTTCAAAACTCTGTCCAATTTTCAGTTTTTGAAGATGAAATTTCCAGGACCGAAATTTTACAGTTTTTACTGAATTTCTCACCCGCAACCAATTAGTAAGTCAACTATAGATGGCATATGACACAATTGAGGTGCTGGAAGTTTGATATCGGTCGGAGGAATCCAACAGCAGAAAGCTTAAGAAAACGAAAAGTTGTATTTTCAAAAGTCTGTCCCATTTTCAAATATGAAATTTTCTGAACACAAATTTGACAGATTAGATGAAATTTTTATCCACAAACCAATTAGTTAGTTAATTGATGATGGTATGAAACCAAATTGGGGTACTGGAAGTCAAAATCCGGAATAAAATTGTAAAATCATATATTCACAACTCTGTCCCATTTTCAGTTTTTGAAGATGAATTTTCCAGGACCGAAATTTTACAGTTTTTACTGAATTTCTCACCCGCAACCAATTAGTAAGTCAACTATAGATGGCATATGACACGATTGAGGTGCTGGAAGTTTGATATCGGTTGGAGGAAGCCAACAGCAGAAAGCCTAAGAAAACGAAAAGTTGTATTTTCAAAAGTCTGTCCCATTTTCAAATGTGAAATTTTCTGAACACAAATTTGACAGATTAGATGAAATTTTTATCCACAAACCAATTAGTTAGTTAATTGATGATGGTATGAAACCAAATTGGGGTACTGGAAGTCAAAATCCGGAATAAAATTGTAAAATCATATATTCACAACTCTGTCCCATTTTCAGTTTTTGAAGATGAATTTTCCAGGACCGAAATTTTACAGTTTTTACTGAATTTCTCACCCGCAACCAATTAGTAAGTCAACTATAGATGGCATATGACACGATTGAGGTGCTGGAAGTTTGATATCGGTTGGAGGAAGCCAACAGCAGAAAGCCTAAGAAAACGAAAAGTTGTATTTTCAAAAGTCTGTCCCATTTTCAAATGTGAAATTTTCTGAACACAAATTTGACAGATTAGATGAAATTTTTGTTCACAAACCAATTAGTCAGTTAATTGATGATGGTATGAAACCAAATTGGGGTACTGGAAGTCAAAATCCGGAATAAAATTGTAAAATCATATATTTCAAATCTCTGTCCCAATTTCAGTTTTTGAAGATGAAATTTCCAGGACCGAAATTTTACAGTTTTTACTGAATTTCTCACCCGCAACCAATTAGTAAGTCAAGTATAGATGGCATATGACACGATTGAGGTGCTGGAAGTTTGATATCGGTCGGAGGAAGCCAACAGCAGAAAGCTTAAGAAAACGAAAAGTTGTATTTTCAAAAGTCTGTCCCATTTTCAAATATGAAATT